CATTCGCACCGAGATGCGAGAACATCAGCAGAAGACCGATGCCCATCTCAAGCTAGTCGATAACCAGATAGCGCAACTTGCTGCCTCTGTCCCTTCGCGACCTCAGGGATCACTTCCTGGGAACCCGGAAGCAAACCCCCGAGAACACTGTAACGCTGTATCCTTGCGCAATGGCAAAGAGCTCGCTAACCCTGTCATCACATCTACAGAAAAAGGTCAGTGCTCTAACTCTGTCCCTACATCTCTTCCTGACCCCATAGTTGTTGAAAAATCGACAGAGATCTCGGGTGATGAAGAACGCGACGTATACATTCCACCGCCGCCACGTCCGCCTCCAGTTCCTTTCCCTCAACGACTCAGGAAAACTAAAGAAGACACCCAATTTGCTCGATTTGCTGACATGGTGCGTAAGTTGGAAATCACTATGCCGTTCCACGAGGTTATCACTCAGATGCCATCCTATGCCAAATTCCTGAAGGACATTCTCACAAAGAAGCGTGTCATCGAGAAGGAAACCATCACGTTTAATCCCGAGTGCAGCGCCATTCTTCAACACGATCTGCCACCGAAATTGTCGGATCCAGGTAGCTTCTCGATTCACTGCAAATTGGGAAATGTTTCTATAGATCGTGCTCTTTGTGATTTTGGTGCCAGTGTAAGTCTCCTACCACTCTCCATCTACAAGAAACTCAACGTAGGAGAACTCAAACCGACTCGCATGGCTCTTCAACTAGCTGATCGTTCTATCAAATACCCTCTGGGTATTCTCGAGGACGTTCCGCTGAAAGTAGGCGATTACTACGTACCGGTCGATTTCGTTGTGCTTGACATGGACGAAGAAGCCAAAATCCCGATTATTCTAGGCCGGCAATTCTTAATGCCATTGTCCACGTTCGTGTCGGCCGACTGACGCTCAAGATCGGCGACGAAACGGTGGAATTCACGCTCGACCAGAATTTCAAGCAACCATCTACAGTGGACTCAATATGTTACATCGACTTGATGGATGCTTTAGCCGATGAGGTACTCTTTGAATTTCGTGATTTCGATGCCCTCTCTATTGCTCTTCTTTCTGAACAGGGCTGCAGTACCTCTACGGAGCCTCAAATTCACGCATACACGTCATTCTTGGACGGTTTAGATGAAATGCCATGCAACATGGCCGTGTCGTCATTCGACACGGACCGTGTCGATATTCTGCTGAAAAACATCGAACGAGACACGCTCGTGTTTGCCACAAGCTCAGTCCGTGTTTCATGCAACACGGCCGTGTCGTTATTCGACACGGACCGTGTCAAATGTCTGAGCAATTTTGCGAAACAAGACACGCCCATGCATCATTCTGGACCAGCCCGTGCACAACTCGATACGGCCATGTCGAATATGAAGTCGGACCGTGTCGAGTCTCGGATTCATCTCCAGTCTGTTCCTTTGTTCGAACCGTTGCCCGTCTTCGCCACCAAATCAACCCCCATGCATCATCTACTTGACTGGGACCCTGCAATAGCTCCGAAACTTGAACTAAAACCCTTGCCCATTGGACTCAGGTATACATTTCTCGGTCTCGATTCCACTTATCCTGTTATTGTCAATGCATATGTATATATAAATATATATATATATATATATATATAGCCTTGGATGATCTACAACTCGAGCAACTCCTCACCATATTGCGAGAATACCGGAAGGCTATCGGATACACTCTGGATGATATCAAAGGTCTCAACCCTTCATTATGCATGCATCAAATTCATCTGGAGGACAATTCCAAATCATCCATCGAACATCAACGCCGACTCAATCCATCGATGAAAGAAGTCGTCAAGAAAGAGGTATTAAAACTTCTGGATGCAGGTATCATTTACCCTATATCCAACAGCCCTTGGGTAAGTCCGGTTCAAGTCGTCCCCAAGAAAGGCGGTATGACGGTGATCAAAAACGACAAAAATGAGCTGATTCCGACAAGAACAGTGACGGGTTGGCGTATGTGCATCGATTACAGGAAGTTAAATGCGAACACTCGCAAAGATCACTTCCCTTTACCTTTCATTGATTAAATGCTTGAACGTCTTGCTCTTCATTCCTATTTTTGTTTTCTTGACGGATACTCGGGATTCTTTCAAATCCCTATTCACCCCAATGATCAGGAGAATACAACTTTCACCTACCCTTACGGGACCTTCGCCTATCGGCGTATGCCATTTGGGCTCTGCAACGCCTCCGCTACTTTTCAACGATGCATGATGGCGATCTTCTCTGACATTATTGAAGACTCGATGGAAGTGTTCATGGACGATTTTTCTGTCCACGGACCTTCCTTCGATGTTTGTTTGACTAATCTTCGTAAAGTTTTGGATCGATGTTTACAGGCCAATCTAGTGCTCAATTGGGAGAAGTGTCATTTCATGGTACAAGAAGGCATCGTTCTCGGACACAAAATCTCTGACAAAGGCATCGAGGTTGACAGGGCTAAAATCGAGGTGATCGAGAAATTACCGCCCCCGCACAATGTTAAGGCCATCCGCAGTTTCCTTGGTCATGCCGGTTTCTATCGTCGTTTCATCAAGGATTTCTCCAAAATCACCAAACCTCTTACCGATCTCCTCTGTAAGGATGTCCCTTTCGTTTTCACTAATGATTGCCTTGCAGCTTTTGAGACGCTAAAAAAGGCGCTGATTTCCCCGCCCATCATTCAACCACCGGATTGGAATCTGCCCTTCAAAATTATGTGCGACGCCAACGATTATGCCATCGGAGCCGTGCTTGGACAACGACAGAATAAAGTGCTTCATGCGATCTACTATGCCAGCAGAACTTTGGATGATGCTCAGGTAAACTATACTACAACTGAAAAGGAACTGCTTGCCGTTGTCTTTGCTTTCGAAAAATTCAGGTCCTACCTTGTCGGCTCCAAAGTCATAGTCTACACCGATCACGCCGCTCTGCGATATTTGCTCTCCAAGAAGGACGCTAAACCACGCCTCATCCGTTGGATACTACTTCTGCAAGAGTTCGACCTTGAGATCCGAGACAAGAAAGGAGCCGAGAATGGAGTCGCTGATCATTTGTCCCGCCTTGAACTCCCAGAGCACTTCCCATTGATGACAATCTTCTGGATGAGCATGTTTTTGCCATCTCTACTCTTCCAGACGCTCCGTGGTATGCTGATTACGTCAATTACCTAGTAAGTGAAATCCTTCCACCAGATCTTAGTTACAATGCCAGGAAGAAATTTCTCCACGACGTCAAGGACTACTTCTGGGATGATCCTTTCCTGTTCAAGAGAGGTACTGACGGTCTATTTCGCCGCTGCATCCCTGAAGGTGAGATCTTCAGTGTTATTTCCCATTGTCATTCTTCTGACTACGCAGGTCACTTCGCGACGTCAAAGACCGCGACAAAAATTCTTCAGGTTGGTTTCTATTGGCCCACGCTTTTCAAAGATGTCCACAGGTTTGTCTCTTCATGTGACGCTTGTCAGCATACGGGTAATATATCCCGTCGTCATGAAATGCCCCAACAATATATTCTTGAGGTAGAACCATTCGATATCTGGGGCATAGATTTTATGGGGCCTTTCCCCTCTTCTTGTGGAAATGTGTACATTATGGTTGCAGTTGACTACGTGACCAAATGGGTGGAAGTCCTGGCAAGTACCACGAACGACAACAAAACCGTGGTGCGCATGCTCAAACGCACGATCTTCCCACGATTCGGTGTCCCCCGTGTCATCATCAGCGATGGAGGATCGCACTTCATCAACCGCACGATCAAAGCCCTCTTGCTCAAATCCGGTGTCAAACACAAGATTACAACGCCTTATCACCCTCAGACCAGTGGAATGGTGGAAGTTTCAAACTGCGAGATCAAGTCCATACTCGAGAAGACGGTATCCAAATCCCGAAAAGATTAGGCTCTCAAACTCGATGACGTCGTCTGGGCTTATCGCACGGCATTCAAAACCCCCATCGGGATGACACCGTTCCAACTCATCTACGGCAAGGCATGCCATCTCCCCGTAGAATTAGAGCACAAAGCTTACTGGGCCATTAAGCAGTTGAACTATGACATCAAATCTACGGCCGAGAAACGGGTTCTCTCGCTCCATCATCTTGAGGAAATACGTCTTGATGCGTATGAAAACGCTAAAATCTACAAAGAACGGACGAAGAAATGGCACGACAAGCACATCCTCCAGCGTCACTTCCAGGTAAATGATCTTGTCCTTTTGTTTAACTCACGATTGCGACTTTTTCCAGGAAAGTTGAAATCCCGGTGGTCCGGCCCATTCAAGATCAAATCTGTATCACCAAGCGGTGCCATCGAACTATGGGATCATTCCGGGAGCTCATTCAAAACTAACGCTCAACGTCTGAAGCTCTACAACCCTGCTTTTCCATCGGACGTGAGAGGAGCCATCGCCCTCTCTGATCCCGCAGAGCAATGAACCCTTGTCAGGTCCAGCTAACGACCTAAAACAAGCGCTTGTCGGGAGGCAACCCGACCTCGTATCCTTACTATATATTAGTTTCGTTTTATTATTCTCTTTCTTTTCTATTTATTCTCTCTACCCGCTCATTGCTATATCTTTTCTCGTGGTCATTTCTGGTTATTTCAGGTCTCACGGATCACCGGACTATTCATGTTTCTTTTTTGCCGGAATTCAGCACGGCCCGTGTTGCCTGTAACTCGGCCGTGTTCACGATTTTTCAATTTTCACAGAGAGTCTGCATGGCCCGTGTTGATTTGAACACAACCGTGTTCGTTTTCGCGAATTTTTGACAGAAAATTTGCACGGTCCGTGTTCTGACTCAACACGGCCGTGTTCGATTTTGCAAACTTTTGACAGAGACTTTGCACGGCTCGTGTTCTTCTTCAACACGGTTGTGTTCAACTGATTCGACGCATCGACATGGCCCGTGCTCGATCTGCACGGACTGTGTTGTCATTTTTTTGACCTTTTTATTCTGTTTTCGCAGGACTCGGCCGTGTCATCTCCTCGCAGCTGTCCCCGCGCCCCACCACCGCCGTTCTCGCCATGGTCCAAGAAGGCATCGTTCTCGGAACTCTCCCCTCGCCGCCTCGCTCTCCCTCATCGCCGCCTCGCCCTCCCTCGCAGCCACCTCGCTCTCCCTTGCCGCTGCCTCGCTCTCCCTCGCCGCCGTATCCCCATCTCTTCCGCCCTCACTCCGACTATGGCTGAGCGAAGCCGGATCGAAGGCTGCCCCGAACGAGGTCCGAAGCGTCGGTACAACTACACACTCCGGGACAATGAACCTTGGGCCCTCGCCGAGGCGCTATCATGGAGCTTACCGACCTCACGCCAATCCGACCTGAACCGGGGGTTCTTCGGATCCATCACCGGGACAACATCTCCAAGACCGTCTACTTCAAACTCGAACAACAGGGCCTACAATCGACCAAGTTTTTCGGTGACGATCTCGATCGCATCAGAATCCACGACGAGTTAGTTCGCATCTTTGATAGGCTCGGGTGGTCGAGTTTTCTGACGGTGCATGAGAAGAGTTTCAAGACTTTGACCTTGGAGTTCGTCTCCACCATCCAGTGCTACTTTTCGAGCGATGGCAGTACACAAATGCCTACATGGAATTTCGGATGCGGAATAACGAGTACCGCCTCTCAATGCGGCAGTTCGCCGATATCCTCGGCATCGCACCAGGTACATCTTCGAAGCTCTCTCTCTTTATACCTCAGCGTCAGGAAGCCTTTTGGCAGGCTATCGCAGCTCGATCATACGAGAGTCGAACTACAAAGGCGACTTGGATCTGCCACCCAGTGGCTCGGTATTTTCACCAATTCCTTACCAGCTGCCTCCTCGCCCGAGCTGCCGGCGGCACGGTGAATCATCAGGAACTAGGTTTTCTTCGCTGGGCTTTGAGCGACGCC